CGCATCAATGTGGCATGCAGGGGTTAATGAATGGACAACCAATGAAAAGAAAGCCACACAACATTGTATTGGGGGAAGGGGGGCACGAGTAAGGTTTTATCGACGAAGAATGTTAGAAATTTCGTTCGTGCGTAAAAATTGTCAACATTTATGTCCACGATTGTAGCTCTTGCCACGTAAGAGTTTGTATTCATTGTTTAAAAGACGTTTACAACTAAACTTCGAAAACGAGTTGAGTCAGAAAAGCTACAGTAGACTAATATCCGAATTATATACAGCTGACACAAGAGATCTCCTTGACGACGGTAACGTGGAATGGTTACGGTTCCATCTTCATCACTCAGACACCATGACATAGTGACGAAGCCTTCCCAGAATACCTTCGTCACAAAAATATAGGGGTTGAGCTAAGCCCAAAGGGGAGTAACAAGGTCCACATAGTGTTTCCCGCCCCACTTCAAACCCAGGAGGAAACGATGATGATGGATGAACTGGGATATTACGATATGCAGCCTCTACATCGAATTTTGCCATCAGGGATCCCCTCCCTAGGTTAGCTACCTTTAGRATGATTTCATCGATCCTCACATATTGCATGGAAAATAGCTCACTGTCAATCCCTTCATTCACACTAAATCCCTTAGGGGCAGACGAATCCACAATTAGCCTCCATTTCTCAGGTTGACCACTCTAAGGGATTACCGCAAACTGCTGATATGCAGGTTTTCCAGCGGAGGGAACAGAAGGGGACCTGCTACCCTACTTCGCTGAATCTCATTCCCCAGATAGTCATTAATAACTTTTGGGAATTGTAATGCAGACGGTTTGTTCCTTGAGGCTGATTTGAGTTTGTTCCGTCCAGTGAAACCCAATTTAACCCCCCCCCCCCCCCCCCCCCTCTTAGGCAATCCAAGACATAGCTGACTTGGGCTTGKTCAGGGTGATTCGCCAATTCTCTAGCAAAAAAGTCGGGACGTAAGGGCGTGACCTCGCAAACCTCCAGGAACACTGSTGAAACTGCAAGAGAAAACAAAGGGGAACCCAGGTGACACCCTACTACCCTACTATATAAAACCAAAAGCATACAAGGGACATCTGATTTACGTTTTTTAATACAGACCATTAAGCTAGAGAGGCAGCAGGGCTGCAAGCTACTAGTTCTTCTAGTCATATACAACAAACATAACCGGGCTTTTCCTATAGAAATACACAACGACCAASAAACGGTCGGTGGACTAAAATTGTCTACTCAACGTGCAAAGTACCCAATCCTAGAGGCAACAACAGAACAACGGCTTATAAAAGGAAGAACTGTTTCAAACTTTAGCCGTAATTGAATTAASCACTGAGAAACAACAAAACTTCTCGAGTCCTAAAGCCTAGCCTTTACGGTTCTTGACGGACGAAACAGAACGGGCACTACGCTTGCGAGATGTACACGYGGAGCTTCGGTGATCCCCTAAACATCGTCCACATCGATGAGCATATTTGCACATCGCATACAACTCCGTACACCTTCTGTTGTTCCATGAGCGGCAGATAACATCCGAATTAGGCAAGCCCGATGCTTCTTYWGAGTCTGAATTTTACATGATTTCATGATGGTTGCGATTAGAGGTATAATCGCGAAGAAAACGAAAAAAGTATWAAGAGTAAAAAACGTGCTTATAATGACCGCTCGCCGACTTCCCGCAAGGGTCGAAGGGAAGRTTCGTTGTAACATACCGGCCCCGAATGAGCGACTAGCTTATTCTAATTACAATTTACGACGAAGCTATCTATAATAACTTATAATCTAAACGATTTATATTACTGCAAGTGTTAGTGTTCTAAAGTTGTCCTTCCAGGTTACACAGTTTCCTAACATCTCTTCGTAGGTTATTGGARGCTGTTTTCACCAGTACTTGTCTTACGATTCCATATTTGTCAGGGTAGACCTCTTTGACGATGCCTTTAGGCCATTCACCTCGTTTTACTCTGTCGTCTACAACTAGTACAAGATCACCAACTTTGAAGTTACGTTGTGGAACAGTCCACTTCTGTCTGAACTGTAAGGTTGGAAAATATTCGCTAATCCACCTTTTCCAAAAGGCGTTGGCTATAGATTGCGCCGATCTCCGTCGCTTGTTGTATACGTCATCCTTAGCAATATCCTCATCCTTCAATGGAAGACTGGCATTGTTCTTTAAAGGCCCAGTCACGRGCATCATGCTTTGCGCGCGTTTGTTATTGTTTTGGTGTGCACGGAAGCGAGGCACCAATGGTGTCTCACCTTCATTGAAATCAGCTGAGCAGTGACACTGTTCCATGTGCGTAGCCGAATTTATATTTTAGAAGAAAAAAGTTTACAAATCGCAATCTATTTTAAAGCACAAGGCAATCGAAGACAATCACAATGTCAGTAAATGCTTACGGTTCATTTGTTGATCCGAATGAGGGCGATTTAGAAACCAGTAGTTCGTCCGTTGAAAGTTCGTGTGACACCGATGTTGAGGTACGTATATTCCTCAGATACAGCTTCGATTTTTGTTCTTACTGCAATTAATGTCTCAATAGAGTTATTCCGTATAAGACGCTTTCGATACGTTACGTATGCAAATGTTCAAATCGAACCTTAAGTATGCAAATTAACACTAAAAAAAACACACAAATAAAACCTTCGAACATTTATTTGTATTTTCAAGGTCATATTTATTCTCAATCATAACAAAAACCATAGTATGTTATGCAACATGAAATACAAATTAAAACCAGCTCGTCAATTTTTACAGATCGTCAATTTTTTTATCTAATTTTGTCAAGACATTTGACATAAGCGCCATGGCTGCGTTTGCTTGCTCGCACATTTTAGTGTGCGCCTTTTGCGCCTCAAGGTTTGCCTCTCGCAAACTCTGCTTTTTTTTAGCTGGTTTTTCATCGTCGGTGTCTGATGTAACTTCATAAGGTACTATGGATTTTTTCTCTTTCTTTCTTTCCTCAGGAGCTCGCTTCCTTGAAAAATGCATCATCTTATCTATTCCTTTTTTGACAATTGCCTGTAGGAAAGCATTACAATTAAAGATGTAAGAATGCAAAATTGACTTTGTCGTAATTTGCAGCTTCAGTACCTGTGTTTCGTTTATCTCTTCTGTGTCGCTTGCGCCTGACGAGCTGTTAGACTCCGAGTCCATAAAGAAACTGAACTTTTGTTTTGCCTTGTCGGATGAGCTCTTTTTTGTTTCATTCTTCGGTTTGGTGGTGGCTTTATTTTTCTCACTAGTCTTTCCATGTGCATGGTATAATTCTGCTTCCTTCTTTTGGCGTTCTCTAACTATACGCTTTATTCTTCGGGTTGAAACGGAGTCCTCGCCATCAATGTAATACTCAACAAGTCTTGTGTTCATGCTTGAATTTTGTATCTTATCCTTTACATCTTTGAGCACCTCATTCCAACCCTTGTAACCTATGTTTAAGTAGGAGCCCATTACGATGCACTCCTCCTTTTCGCCAACCGGTATTCTCATTCGTACGTTATTTGAAGACATGCTGAGTGGAAGTATGGATGTTTGAGAAAAATGACACAGCTTTATGTCTGCATGCACAATACCATGTCAACCTTTTCACGATCCAACATGACCATTTTAATTGAGCTGTGAATATTTCTAGTTCAGCGATAATTGATAAGAAATAGGATGTATTGTTAAAATCAAATATTTGTCACATGTATAAAACACCCTTTTATAACAACGAACAATGGAAACATCCGCGAAACAAATGTCTCTTATCTTTCAAGCTTAGTTATAAACAAGTCAACAATTTTCAGTCCGATATTTGTCTAGAATCATGGATAATAGACAATTACATGCTCTATTATTAATGTTCCAGTGTATTCAGGCAGCTACAGCAGTTTTTATACATTTACCNCTACTACATTTCCAGTCAATCTCGATGCATGTTCCAACACGCTTGCCCCAATGTTGAAGAACCTTTCCACACACTTGACCATCCTGCAATGTGGCAGTGCAGAAGTCCCCTTTTAGATCCAAAAGCTTTTGGGTTGACACCATAACACGTTCCTTAGAATGTAGCTCAATCATATCCTCAAGTCCATCAACTTCTTTTGATTTTTCGAATGACCTTTGAAATGACAACAGCACTTCCTGTGAATTTTCTTCTAAAGACCTGTCTATAGCATCTCCCTTTTCATTTTGCTGTAATGGCTCACTTGTTACATTCAAACAAGATTCAGTTGATACTGTATCAGACAGAGATTGTCCAGAAGACTGTGATTGAAGAGAGAAGTTCATAGTTGGACTGTTGCCAGAACACATTGATGTTTGAATATCTTCAGTTTCTTCAGTTGATACTGTATCAGACAGAGATTGACCAGAAGACTATTGTTGCGCTTCAATAGCTGCACGTCTTTTACGCTCTCTAGAAATCTATATCTTACAAGGTTTTATCCGACCTTTTTTYAGTTTTTCTTTTAYCTAGTMCTATCAATATGGCATATAAGTTTTATTCGAGGGCATTTTTGTTGTCAGTTATGTCATCATTGGCACAAATTCCCCGTTTGGATGGAGCTACTTATCAAGTGATCAGGGACAATGGAATAGCCAGGAAAATTACACGTCGTGGATGCAGGGCTGGAGTTTACAAGAGACGACAAATTACTACAGTTATGGCTTTGGAGACCAACAATCATTACTCCTCAGCAAATGGTTTCAATCACTAATCTGCTTTGCCTTCAAAATCTAGTCATTTTGGATCCTTTGTTACTCCTGGAAATATGCAAATTCTGGATTCCGCATTCCATAGGGAGATGTTTGAATTGAATAAAGAGCCAAGGAATGTCAACAGTCTCATTCAAATTAAACCGGTGCCTCAAAAAACAGGGGTATTGTTACCATCGCGTTTTGGGCTATTAAATACAAGATCAATGGTGAAGAAAACAACACAGATTTGTGACTTGGTCATATCAAATCGGATTGATGTCTTAGCCCTTACAGAAACATGGCTAAATGGGACAGACAAACACTGCATCGCTGACATCTACAATACACTACCGCATTATTCATTCTTTCATGTTCCTCGATCTAGACGCAAAGGCGGGGGAGTTGGAATTCTTGTGAGGGATGGGTATAGTGTAGTTGAAAATCAACTGGAAGCCCATACGACGTTNGCGATGTGGCACTGCAGCAAGAAAGACAGCAATCACAGCAAGAAATCTTGGTACGTTTTATACCACACTAATTATCAAGGTTACTAATTCTTGGTAGATTGATATAACAACTCAATAAAATGGACTGCATAAAAAGAATACTCACAGCGAATGATATATTTTTTTCGCTACTACACGCATAATATGTATGCAAATTGTTGTGTATGAAAAAAACCCAGATCCTACAAGTACTAATCTCTAGGTGATAACTTTTTAAAGTTAGTGTATTAAAATACACTACTAGTTCCAACCTAAACTATGGTTTATTTCATTAGGACTTTGTTGCCAATCTAGAAGATTCTACCAAAGACAGAATCTTAGTGAATCTATTGAACATGGGGAGAGGCAGTTTGGATTTTGCCAAATCACTAGCAAATGATRCAGAGGAGCAAGAGGAATCCAACTTAGACATTGACAAACCTGAATGGTGTAAATGTGGTGTTTGTGTAGTTATGCCAACAGAACAGGAAAATCTTTGCTGTAAGAGAGTCACCTGTTTGACATGCTATACTGCTTTTGCTAACATCTGTTTGGACAGGGACGTTTTGGAAATATGCATAAARGCCAGATGTGACATACGGGCAGAAGACTTCAATTTCACTATGGAGAGTTTTCGTAAAGCTGGCTATCGCCAATTTGCACTCTGGCGCTATGGAAAACTTGGAAGGGACAACCGCAGAGTTTTACCAGCATGCGCTGTCAGGAGAATACGTGAAAGGTATCCAGCTCCTGATGGAAATTACATGGGATTTCGACTGCATTAGTGCAGGCTATTGTAGTGATTTCATTCCACTGTATTGAGTACCAATGTCATGAGGTCATGAACATTAACAGAATTTTAACAATCAAGATTTAGCCTAATATGTCTGCTCTGGGTTAGGGAAGGTGAGATGAGGGAAAGGAGAGAATCCAGAACACAAAATCTCTCTTTCTTTCCTTCACTATCCCATTTTTTTCAATCCCCTCCCAAGGTGTCAGTATGCAGGCTAATCAAGTTTTTGCTTAATAATTTTACAAAGTTGGTTTTATGCTGTCATTTATAGGTTTTTCCTTACAATGCAGCGATTCTTATTATCAATTATTAGTTATTTAATCAATGACATATTCAACTATTTACATATACCATATTTATGTTACACTTTTCTGTCAATATTACTACAATGTTAGAGTGTAAACACCAAAAGCGTGCAACAATTTGCGCTATTTACTACAAAATAGTGCTAATCAAACAAAAGAAAACAATAGAATTAGCATAATTTAACAGTATTTATATTGCACAGTTTTAGTGTTTCCACTCTATTGTTCCCAAAGTAGCTACCACATACTGTATTTATAAAACATTTAAATTTATCAGACTTCCAAACATATCAACATTAATAATGAAATGAAAAAAAATTACTATATTACTTTTTTTTGGTGTTCATGTTAAATCGTGATGGCGCTTTCAGCAATTCCTCTGTTGAGGGTGGAGCTTTCATACCAATTGTGGYAGCTATCTGCTTAGGGTTAAATTCATCAACATCAGCTTTGGAGGAGAAGCAGYCTTGAAAAGACCTCCTGTTTTCCAGCATCCTTGCTGCCATGCTGGGGAAAAAATCATATGTTTTCTCTTCTTTGACAATCTCAGCATGGTACTTCTGTGTTCTTTTAGAATACTTTCTGTGGCCTGCCAGGTTACCATCAGCTTTGCGTTTTGGCTTTCTGAACAGATGGAAGTTATGATCTATTGCAGCAAGAAGTACACGCATGATGAAGTAGGGGTATCTAGTAAAGTTTCAAAAAACCATATTAGCAACCATCTAAACGTTTTAGCTTATTTTGATTAAAATTTGCAAATTGTGCTGCACAGATACATGTATACTAAATCCACTTACGTAAATAATGTTC